GTGGTGAGTGACGAATATACCTGCAAACCATAGGTTTGGGGCAGCTGATTATTCAGGCTAACTCAGTGTTTTTACCCAAGTGAATGACTCGTCTGTTCCGTCCGAAATAGAGTCAATATTGTCTGTTCTTCAGATTTAACAGAAGCTTGTTTACACTTGACCTATGGACACTTTNACTTTCTTCCGGAAATCGGTACCGTCTCTCCACCTCTTATAGCCTAAACCAATTATTGGAAACCGGTTGAGAGAAGACGTCAATAGTCACACAACAGTTACAAGGTATAACTACTATATAACTAACAGTGTGATCAATATACTGCTACGAAATGAGAAAAGTATGAATAACCGAAGGATTAGTTCAATAAGTTCAGTTTTATATTATCACTGATCTTGCACTTTCGAGCGACGGATTTGGTTGCTATCTTTTGGCCACCCGCTTGGATGCAGGAAGGAGTAGAAAGCTGGAAGTAGCATCAACGTGAATATTGAGATTCGCGTAGTACAGGTGTTGAAGAAAATGAGCAGATGCATCAGCGATACTGTTTACGACACAGTCATATCACTCAGTATCCTTAGCCATCGCATAAACTGATCCCGAGGTCCCCAACCGGGAAGCCTAACGCGACCTGTATTCAACTCTCCTGCTCATGCTTTTCATATTATCATGTCAGGTTTTATTTTCATTATCCTTCTTACACCCACTAAATGCCTCGGTCAACATGAAACAGTGAAGTAGATTATTTAGTGGCATGCGTAACACATGCCCCAGCCAAAGTAATCCACGGAGGTTGCGCATATGCTCGCCAGTGCGACCACCATTACCTAAAACTGCGATCAACTTCAATCTTACTTGTCCAGCAATGCGGCCTAGACAGCAGTGCCGAAACACCAATAGTTCCCTTATATCCTGTTTCCGTAATGGTCAAGTCTATGCACCATACATTAGCATATATATGTTGAAAATTGGTTCTCGTAGCTCGGGTGAACTGAATTCCATTTGGCCTGTTCGCCGAGCTTGGCAATTTGTTTGCATACGTTTTATTACCAGCCGAGATGACATCATTAGTGCTTGTAACGTGGCCTGCCATTGAATGTGTTATTGATAATGTTATATGTTCGTTCTAGTTCCGACTTCTTCAAGATGACGAATGTCATCAACGTACCGAAGCCAAAGTTTTGGCATGATTCTTGGTAGTACCTTGCTCTCCAGCTTCTGCATTACGGCTTCGGCTGTGAATCGAGAAATTGGCGATCCCATTGGTGTTCCTTTCAGCTGTTCGTAGATTTCACCCCCGAATTTGAAGTACGTCTGCATGCATGGTTCCATGAGTTCGCAAATGGCAGCTGGTTCCGTTGGTGGGTTTGGTGGGCGCTCAGTTATCAGTTCCCGCAATATAGATCTTGCCAGGTCCAAGTCGATCGAAGTGGACAAAGCGGTGACGTCAAACGAGACCAATGTTTCGTCTTCTTGGATGTTAACAGTTTTGAGCTTGTCCAGGAACTGTCTTGAGTTCATGATGCTATACTCGTGTCCAGCGATGAGCGGCTTCAGTCGGTTCCATAATTTTTTCGCCAAATTGTATGTGGCTGTTCCTGGAAGGGAAACAATCGGTCTCAGGGGAATTCATTCCTTGTGTATCTTCGGCAGTCCGTAGAACTGGAGTCCGTAGAATAGAGTTTTTCGCTCTCATCCTCTAGTGTACCGCTTTGGTTATTTGATGCAGTTCCTTCAGTCGTTTCAATGTAGTATTCATTTTATTTTCCAGTTTCGCGGTGGGGTCCGTGTCGATTCTGCGGCAGGTGTCTGTGTCTTGGAGTAGTTCTTTAGCCTATTGAATGTAGTCAGTTTTGTCCATAACCACAGTAGTTCTCCCTTTATCTGCTGGTAGGATAACAATATTTTTGTCCATCATCAGTTTTGAGTGCTTTGTCCTCGCGGTTTGATAACACGTTGGGTTTTCCTTTTCGCAGCAGGGCTGGGACGACTGTTTGTCGGATGGTTTGTTTTGCATCCTCAGGTATCGTGGACAAGCACTGATGATGTCACCTCGGCTGGTGATGAAACGTTTGCAAACAAATTGCCACGCTCGGCGAACAGGCGAAATGGAATATACATATACAGCCACCAGGCACTGTTGATGATGTTCGATGTGGGTTTCACTCTTTGGGAGATCGTTAGTTCCCCAGTTTATTTGCACTTTAGTGCGACATCATCAGCAGTGCCTGTGAAAAACCGAATGGGCTAATCCAAACATTCACCATCTAAATTGATTGAGCCATTCGCAAAAGGTGATAACCATCGACCGTATAGCCCAAGGGTAAGGGTTTGAAGTCTCAGCCCGAGATACACAAACACTCGAAGGCACAGATAAAATGCACCGGATAAACATTACTGGAATGGAGCTTCTAAACCGGGCGCTAATAAACATCAGACGTTTTGATCAAAAAGGTTGTCGAATGCCTGCATACGCGTAGATCGCTTCGTTGTCAACACCAAACCGCACATGCTGGATTGATTACTCCGCTTGGATTGGTTGCAATCTATGAGCGCCCCTAAGTGTATGAAACAGCAAGTCAAGTTAAGTCAAGGAATCGCTTTATACACCTCGAAAGGTGGATATTCAGTAACATCATCATCATCATNGCGCAGACGATAATGAGCTAACTGAGGCGATTTTGTCGATGACTGATGAGGCGAAACGCGAAACACATTAGAACCCTTGCATGATCGAACTCAACGCAGGTGGTCCAATAAGATCTGCAATTTTGTACTAAATTACGCCAAC